AACTCATGTTTTTCCCACTAGGACTCATTCACAACATCTAGGAACATTTACAGAAGTCAGTATTCTATTTCAGTTTCCATTCTAAACTAAGAGATTTGGTAGGAGCAGGGTCAAAGTTGTTTTTGTCTGTGTCTTTTTAGGTGCACCACAGAGAAAAGGATTTTGTTTTCACTGTTTATATTACTGAATAAAGTTTTGCAAAATCTGTTGTAGTTGTAATATATGAAAAGGAACTATGTTTTCTGAAAAATGCCAGTTGTCCTTGTTCCTGTTTTCTGTATTCAAAAACTGAAATTGTACCTTTTTCTGTGCATTCAATAACTGGCAGAGTGACAAATCCTAAGTCTGAGTTACTGATCCAGCTGCACTTGGTGGTTGTATGCCCTTACTCTTATGGAGTCGTAGTCTTGAATATAGTATACAAAACAATTATTATCAAAGCGAGTTTTATTCCATAGTATGGAAAATATTGTTGGCTTGCATTACTTTCCATACCAATACAAAACTACTGGCAAAAATGTGCAGAACTACTATTTTCACTGTGGTACAAAGGCAAAGGTATTCATCTAATTACCCTATTTACTCAAATCCAAGACAAGTCTTTTTTCCTCCATTCAACATAAGGAAAAAAGACCCTTACCTTCAATTTCAATACAAGTGTGGAGGTGCTGGGGCAGGAAGCTGCTGCAGCTCTGACTCCATCCCCAACCTGGGCTTGGGGTTAGAGCCACAGTTGCTGCCACCTCCCTCCTGCCCAGCTGCCCTCCATAGCCCTCACCCAGGTCCCACTCATCATGCAGCAGTGGCAGCAGTGACAGTATCTCTAGCCCTGGCTCTGGATTTGAGGTGCTGGAGCCAAGGCTAGGTCAGGTGCAGGGGCCAGAGCTGCCACTGCCAAACCTCTGCTATGTGGCCAGGCAGGGGCCACAGTGACTATGCCCTCCATGCCACGGGCCAGAGAGGGACCAGAGCTAGATCTGGAGCTAGTGCTACAATAGAGGGTAAGTGGCAATAGAGGGGGGAAGCAGCAATGGGGACAAAATGTGGGGTAGATGCCAGGAGGTGCAGACATGATGGGGGCAGGTGGGAAAGAGGGTAATTGTTGGGGGAAGGTGACAAAGTGTTCAGGCACCATAGGGTGGAGGCAGTTCCCAGTGGCTGCAGGCATGGAGGGACAGGAAGGACAGGTGGCGAATGGTGGGGTGCAGGCAGCATGGCAGACAAGGTGCAAGGGGGCACAGGCAACAACAGGGATGCAGGCAGAAGGGAGGCAAGTGGCAGGGGGCAGGAAGCAGGAAGTACTGGTATCACAGGAGGTTTAAATGCCAGGGCACACACGCACCGGGGTAGTAGACAGCAGAGGAGGCAAGCATTGGGGTCAGACAGCAAGATGTAGGGATCAGGCCACTTAACTCCCCTGACACATGGCCCCCCTACCATCTACCTGCAGCTACTGCTTGCCCCACTGCAGCAGTTGGGTGGGGGACAAATTTAAGATGAACTTCCAATTATTAGATGCTACACATGGAAAGTTTTAACAAATTAATACATATTCCATGTATAGAATCTAATTACTGGGGGTCATCTTAAACTCAATGCCATCTTAGTTTGGGGTAAATATGATATTTGCTATCCATCATCTTCCATTTCCCCTTGTTTATAACCACACAGCTTTTTTGCCCATTCCTCAAAGTTGTATTGGAGACAGTAAGTTTCAGTTACTCTAAGTTCAGTGGATGATTCCCAGCTATGGAAAATCCACCTAAACCTACCTCATAATACAAGATGCCCACAATTCCCAGTCTATCAGAGGGCCAACAGGCACTCAGTTTTGTCCCAAAAATGGGAAGTCTTGGCCAAGAAGGAATTCTTGTCAGAACACACGGGTTATTTCTGACTCAGTACTCATTCAGTCTTGACCTCTTCTACTGGACAGGATGTTTGGAGTCCAGACTTCAAGTTAATGTTGTTCATCCCTGACAGAGACCCTGGGGGATGATAATAGTCAATATATCACCTCAACTTTCCCATGAGTGAATTTGCAGCCTATGGTAGCCCCTACTTGTAAAGGGAGAAATTTTCCACCCTCATCATCTATAAGAATCAGCCAATCAAACACAGTAACCACAATGTAGAAAAGTAAGGTAGCATGAATGTTCCTTGTTTGTCAGCAAGAGGCATGTGCCAGTGGTACTATCTCATCCTGCTCTCCTTCCTGGCTTCATTCTGTTTATAGGAAAATGTGAGAAGGAGTTGGAAGAGTGATCCCAGGAGTGTTCTCACAGAATCTCCAAGAATAGAGAATGAAGACCCCCACCTACAATCAAAGGCCCCAGGGGAGCAGGAAAACAACACTGAGGGAAGGGGAGGGGAGAAAAAGGGGTCCTATTCAGTGAGTGTGCCCAGATGTGATTAGGTTTTAAGTTCAGAACTATGAGTATCATCCTTAAAGCAGAGCTGCCTAATAGGGGTATAATCTGCATAATGGAATGTTCATCCACTTCTAATAAATGTATTCACCAATTTTGCCAGCATTGGTTTCACTTAAACATTATCCATTATCCCTTTAATGAATCTGGCCCTTTGTTTCACTTTTTCTTTAATCTTGCTCCCCCGTATTCTGTCCCTCGCTAGTGCCCCTGGTGATGGTAGAATGCCACTCATTCATCCCAGTGACATGTGTAGATTAGTAGAACAAAGCCTCACGATTTCCTTTCCTGAGGCAGCCTGTGCAGGGGCTGATTTGTATTTGCCATGAGGAAAGCTGTGCAGTGCCCCTTGCCAACTCCATTGCTTCACTACTCAATCACCATCTTAAAATTTCAGGAACTTAATTCTGATCATTCCAGCCAGGTGTGTTGTACATAAAGAAGCTAATTACTTTACTCTCAGAAATGGCTAATTTACAATTACATATACTTTCAGTGTGTTGATTTAATTAGAAGTTTTTCTTACTAAACACTAAAGGAAAACCCATACATTTTGATGCATGTGATTTAGTCCTATCATCTTATTCAGCTGGAATTACCAAGCCGCTATGATAATATGTTCCTATAAGGAAGATTGTTGATTCTTTCTATGTATGAGCAAGCAGCCTTAAAAATGAAAACGTGATAATATTAAATTACATTGTGAGTAATTAAATACTTATGGTTATAAACCTTCATCAAACATTTAGTATTAAAGCCTTCTATGGTACATCATGTTGATTGTAAATGAGTAAAACAGAATGCCAATATTAGTTAAAATGCTCTTGAAGAGAGTTAAACTCTGTCAATAACTATAAACGTGTAAATGCCAATAACCATGACTCTATCAATGTCTCTTTTTGTGCTTTTCAACTTGTCGGTTTGACAAAATGAATGACAGATAACCAATTTTTGTGTTACGCTAGAAGTATACAATATACAGAAGCAACTCCTATCCCTTGGTATATTTTCCTTTGTAAATACTAAATCTAAATCAAGAGTACTAGGCTAGGGAAGATGCTCAGAGAAAGAGTACCAGGTAATCTTATAGTCTCTGGAGAGGAGGACCAAAAAATAATAAGATCATCAATAGTTGGCTCAAGTATTGGTGCTGTCTGGAAGACTTTGAGATGTTCAAATATTGTTGGGCAATCTGAGGAAAAGGGCTCTTTGAATCAAATGTATGTTACCTCCTTAAATCAAATAACATCCTGAAATTAAGACATGTAAAACTGAAAGGGATGAACTTTAATGTAAGAAATGAGGAGAGAATGTCAAGAAAGAATTCTGCCATCTCCATGCCTGGTTTTTATACATAGGAAGAGGAAAAACATGTAAATGCAGATTCAATAAGGAATATATATATATATATTGCACTTATATATATATAAACCCCAGATTATAGATGTAGGGTTAGCAAGCCAAAAGAAAATACAAATATTGATAACAGCAGTGGTCAGGTAAGTAATACAGAGAATGAGAGGACTATACCTAACTGGTTAGGTAATTGGTTGATGTCAGAGATATATGCTGTGATATATGTATACAAATGCAAGAACTCTGGACAGTAAAATGGAGGGACTAAAACTATTCATGCATGACATAAAACTGGGGATAACAGAAACACAAGCCTCGCTAGCATAGAACCATGGATCGGTATGTGTTGTTCAGAAAAAAAAGAAATATAATAGATATGGCAGCTCTGTACATTGAACAAAAAATGTAGAATTCTTCTGTGCAGATCACACAGAGATAGGAGGCATCATCAATATAGAAGAGGATTGGACTATGATTCAGGGGAAAAAAAGGATGATTAAAGGACTAGAATAATAGAAATGGGATATATCTTAATAGCACAGATTTCAAGGCCATATGATAGAATCATAGAAAATTAGGGTTGGAAGGGATCTCAGGAGGTCATCTAGTCCAAACACGTGCTCAAACCAAGACTATCCCCAGCTATGTCATCCCAGCCAAAAAGTCTCTAAGACCCACAGGAGCTGTTATTTCTGGCCAGAATACTCAAGGGCACACATTAAGGATCAAACTTACAACCTTTTGGTTCACTAACTAACCACACAAGGCCCTGGGCCCACAAGCTACAGAATCCATACCACTTGCCTAACACTTAGATGTTAATAAGACTATGAGCTCTAAACAATAGGTTAACAACTAGAAACATCAGAATGGAAGAAACCTGGGTATATTAGCTGATTGCAAGATGAATGTGTATTACCAATGTCATGAAGCCATGAAAAAGGCAAATGTCATTCAACGATGCATCAGGAAAACTATTTGCAAAACAGATACAAAAGTATTAATACTATGGAGCAAGGCACTAGTGGGACCTGGTCTGGAATACTTTATACTATATTAGCCCTTCTGTTTCATAAAGATTAAGTCCTCTAAAATTAGGCACATAGAAAGACTACTAGGTTAAGCAGAGAAATGGAGGCCTTATCTTACTATATATATAAATTAGCATGGCTCGTTTAGCAAATAAAATGGAGGTTAGGAGGGGTAAGGCTGTTCTCTATAAATATCTCATGAGGGCAAATATCAAGGAGGAAGAAGCTGAAGTGAAATGGGCAGAAATTCAATACAAATAAATTTAGGCTGGATATGAGAAAAACAACAGTAGGGTTCTTGAAAAGGAATAGAAGTTCTTGAGGGAAACAACCTAAAATGCCATCAACTTAGGCTATGAAAATTTATCTGCATTACTAGGGACTGAACTCAATGACTCAGAAGATCACCTCCAGCCCTATGCTCCTGCATTCCCTATTAGCCCTCCCTAATTCAGCTTTGCCTTATCAAAGGATTTTTTTCCCCAGTATACCTTTCTACAGCTGGCCTTTTACATTTGACAGAAGTAACCAGCTGCAGCTCTGATGTGGCTATTTGGTAACAGGCAGCAGCTTGTTACATCATCATGTCTTCCCACTGGTAAGTGTCCTTAACTGCTTTTGTGCTTTTCCTTTTTTCCCCAAAGTTCAAACCCTGCTCTGGAAGAAGTATTCCATATTAAGACTGCTTAAATTTCTCCCACCTCCAAGCTTTTTTTGTCTTTTGGGGTGTTAGCTAAGAAGTAGATGGAAGAGAAGAGAATATTTTCTGGCCAATTTTTTATTTCCTTCACATGTATTCTATCAGAAGATTTCTAGTAATCTAGGTGCAAAGGACTTCTATGTTTTCTGACTCTGTTACTGGGTGTGGGCCTCCAGTAAGCTATGCCACAGCAGCCTACAAAGCTCAGAAACATTTGAGTTGATTGTAGTATTAGAAACAAAATATGGAGAAGACATGGGATTCTTAATATTTTTGTGGTCTGCGCAGTATTAATAGACTTGTTGTGCACATGTAATATTGGAGGAATTTGAATTCAAACACCATATTTTATCCTAAACTGAACTAGAGAAATGTTTACATAAGAGCTTTAGCTTCAGAGCAGCACAGGAAAGCTAATACTTTACAGAAAGGTGTCTGGAGACCAAATGAAATTTTTCAACTGTCCAGCAAAATGAGCCTGGTTGCAGTCCCCTGACTGCTATGGAGGTGATGATCTGATTCTTGGTACAAGCAGCTAAGTCTTTACAGTCCACCAGATTAAAGCACTGGTCAAGCCTTAGAGACTAGATATTCCCACATGAAATATAATACAACATGAAATAGCCAAAAAAAAAAAAAGAGAGAGAGCCTGTGCTTTTAAGCAACTATTCTTTGACAATAAGGTTGAGTGTAAGCAGATGTTGTTGCTGTATAAACAACAAAGCCCTTTGTCCAGATAGGCCTTAAGAGCTTATGTTCTAATGGACTGGTGGATGGCCTTGATTTACACAGTTTAGCAATGAAGTTGGAAATACCTTTTTATAACCCTAAAGATAACTATCTCTCTAATGCCAAGTATTTTGTGATAACTTTATGACCTGTAAAGATAGTGAGTTTACCTAGCAACAGAGCAGATGCTTAAGGGGTCCTGCTAACTAGGTTTTGCACTCTTGTCAAAGGTAATGACTTAAAAGGTAAGTTTTGATTTTAAAGTAAAAGCTTTAAAGGTTGAGGTCTATTGACAAAACCCAAAAAATACTAGTATTTCATGGGAGACTTTCTGACCCCTTCTTATCTACTTCCTGTCCTCTAGCCTCCTTTTTCTAACACAGGCAAACTTTAATTTGGGTATGCTGTTCCTTTCATTTGCTACATCATTTAATCTTTTTAAATAAATGCCTCTTATTGCAATTTGTTTTTATTGTATATAATTGGTGAAAAGAATATGCGTGGGCTCTTAGGGGCCCTTAGGACCAAATCTTAGTTGAGGGCCTTGTTACATGTTACACTGAAGGGTACAAATATTGATCAGCTTAGTGCTAGCTTGCAGACACACCTTCAATTTGAGCAGCACATGGGAAGTGGCCACACTTTAACGGAACAGGAGCTGGGTCATATGGATCAAGAGATAATGCTGTCCTGCAGTGGTGTAACTTTAAGCTGTATAACAGCTGCTTTAAACCACTTAAAGGTGTTAACGTGCAAACAATCTAGGGGTTAAGAGCTCCAGAAGCTGCCCAAAATTAACCTGCAACAGGGCCCTGAGACACCAAAGCAGTACTACAAGACAACCAGGAATGTGAAGACATTCCTTACGACATTAAGTGCAAGATAAGGGGCAAACAGGTAGCAGAAGCAGTGTGTGCCCTACATAGCATTCATGGTCTGCTAATATGGGCTATGCACAGTCCATTGTGCTATATCCAGTGGTGTCACCCCTTCAGTTCAGTACTGAAATACTTATGAAGCATGGGTGGCAGTGTGCATTCTCACTGCTTGGTGCTCCATGAAAACGCAGTGTAGGACTTGGTGTATCCATAGGAGACTAATGGAGTGGGCACAACAGGATTTTTCCTTGTTGCTGTAACTAATAAAGTAGCACTGACAAAGAGTACTTGGTTATTCTTGCTGCAGTGCTTTCATCATATCAGTACAACTACATTATAATGAACCCTTACAGGGCCAAAAGAAAAATTCATTGAGAAGGTACTTGCTATAATAGGGCAGTTAATTTTTGCATCATTATAACAAAAAAATGTTCCTCCTATTGAAATTGTTGCATGCATGGGTTTGTTATAATGCATTTGTCTTATATTTGGATCACATAAGATTCATTTTCTCTAAATGGTGTAGTGCATTTCAGCATTGCTGAAAGCAACTTTTCCCAGCAATGCAGAATTATTTTATTTTATTTTTTTTAAGATTATAATTAACCCTAAAAATTATCTCCCTGTATGTCTGTCTAATTTTCCTACACTGAATCTATGTTGTGCTAGACCACTGAATCCAAACTATTTTGAACAAGCACTAATAAAGATTTTTTTTTCTGGGAAAAATAAATAGCCACTAACAGCTTATAAAAAAATGTAATGGCCATATTTATGATTAAAAATGTTTAAAGAGTTAAACATAATTAAATGTTAAGAGTTTAAAGAGTTAAACATAATGTTTAAAGAGTTAACATAATTTAAAATGTTTAAAGCATTTGTGGTATTTCATCATTTGATAGGATGACAAAACTGTGATATGCAAACATTTGTCTGGCCATAACACTGAAATGTCTTTAAAAAAAGACAATCTCCAGAAAATGCTTAATATGCAGGTTCTTAAATGTATAGATTAGATCTGTATTTAACTCTCACTATCAAATGTTAAAGAGCATTCATGAGCAGTTGTGGTGTTAGTATAAACAAAATGTATTATAAATGACTTTTTAATTTGGATTTAAGCACTTTTCCTCTCTCTATCTTAAATTCTTTATTAATTGAAAGAGACTTTTGAGCTTTAACTCAAATAATGCCCTAAGCTTCACATATTTGCTGTTTAAAAAGTTGTGCATAAATCTGATGAAGAATATGTAAATATTGAGCTGTTTTATTCATTTTACTTTTATTTTCTGTAAATAAATATGCTATTTATTTCAAACCTTGGACTAAGTTCTCAGACAAAACAAGGTCAACTCTCAAAAAATACCAGATCAACTAAGAGCAAAGGTCAATGGTTTGTAATGCTGGGTGTTAAAGGTGGTAGGTCAATGTGCAAAGCTGTGGGATTTTTTTTTTTTTTTTTTTTTTTTTTTTTTTTTTTTTTTTTTTTTTTTTTTTTTTTTTTTTTAAGAAACACGCATCTTATGCTAAGAACACTGCAAAAGAGAGATCTCGTTTTAAACCATTTATTCCAAAAGACAAATACCGCCTAAACAACAAGCCCTTGACGTCTGTGACACAGGAGACATTCAAAAGTCATTAAGACTATCTCAAGGGAGCTTCTACAGTTGCTTCACTTTAGGGTGGGTGTGAGTATGCTTAAAATTAAATTACTTTAAAATAGAGCACTAAGCAATATCCTGTTTTTGACTCAGCAGGGTTTCCCGTGAGAAAAGAAAGTGGGCAAAGAGAGCTTAGACAGACAGACAAACATATTTACCCCTAGGTGGAAGGTACAAATTAAATTAGCCTGCCACAAAAGGGAGATGTTTTCTCCTTCTGTTCAGATGTCATGGTAGTAAGGAAACATAGTCGGGGCCAAGAAAAATGGCACAAATGCATTCATCTAAGCTACCATTCATCCTGTTCCAAGCTCTAAACAGAACACATAAAAGAACAGCACTGCTGAAGCACTTCCTTTCCTTAGTTACCAAGTTGAGACTTGCAAAGGAATATGGGAGCAGAGGGTAGGGATATTTCCAGAATGTTTCACTGTTATGATGGGAATGACTGAGGATGTTATAGACCTGATGAGACTGGATTTAGAGAGTCATGCACATAATATGATTCCATATTTCATGGAGGGGAAGCTTTACTTTCTGTTGCTCGATGTGATGTATTTTGAAGGTACACTGCAACTTTCACTCCCTCCAAAGCTGGAAAACAATGCAGACACTTCCTGAGAGTCAAGTATATCTTTTATTGTGCCTCATTAATATGCATGTTTTTGGCACTCATTTGGGTTCAGCTGGTATGCTTTCCAGTACCTCATTCTTTATTTATATGAGACTGGGAGGTGTGACCTATGGAGCCAGTTGGCTGTCATGAATTGGAATATTCATTAAGCCTTGTGAATTATGCATTGGACTTCTTATAATACTGAGATCCACATTTGATCCAGCCAGAACTCTCAACAGTTTCCCATTAGGTGGAATGATCCACAGTTTTGTGAAAGCATACATGTGCTCCTTACACTGCAGAAGGCAAGCAGCACTCCAATATATTTGTAATCCAGAAATGCTTAGGGATTTTGTGATTCATGTTTGACAAACTGGGTTTAATATTTGTACTTGTTTGAACAGCTTTATAGTTGTGTCTCTGCCTGTAAATCACAGTCAGACTGTGCTCTTCTATGTTTTGAGTTTCTTTCCTATCATTCAGCAGCATGTACAACAAATTATCTTGTTGTCAGGCTTAAAGGTCCGGATCTGGCAAGCAAGCCTCTTTATATAGATATCAACTACTATTTTATATGGGAAATTCAGTGCTTAGATTATGGAATGACTCTCAAGAATTCAATTATTCAAAATGGGAAAACTATTGACTGACATAGTTTAATCTATCCATCAAAAGAAATAGGCAGTGACCACTATTTCACACAGGCTAGATTTTCCTTTCAGCTACTGTTTGTGAGTCTTGTATGTATTTCAAGGTTACATTTGTCTGGTAGGACTATTTGATCAGAAGAACTGTCTATGATTTTTTTTTTTATCATCAAAAGCATGGTCAGCACCCTATTTGTATTTCCAAAACCACTAATTGTATACCCTTCTTAAGAGCTGCATTGTTTCAAATGTACCATGCTGTTTACTACCTAAAAAGACTTAAAATGGAGGCAAGAGGTTAGAATTAAAAAAAAAACCCTGAAAAACTTGACGGGTCAAGATAAATGAAGGATTTTAAAAGACTTGGTCACTTCAATAGCATCAACAGGTCTTAGTGCAGAAGAGTTGTCTTGTCACCTTATGACCTTTTAGCTTGAGATTTGTAGTTTCAGTATGACCTATGCAAGCCAAAACTGTAAAGAAAAAAAAAATAGAAGCTCAATCCTCTGAGTGAAATATCTTCACTTAGATTACTGTTTTGCCATTATGGCCTTATGTACTGGCTCGAACCTGTCTGATGTACTGTACCCCCCCAAAGCGAGCAGCAACACTGAGCAAAGTAATTATGAAAAGCAAAAAGCTCTTATTGCATAATCTGTATTCACTTTATTATGTGTGATGGGTTCTGTGGCCTGGCCTGAAAGTGGAGAGTCTGATCTATGAAAAGGTCACAGGTGAACCCTGTGTAAAATGGCATTGTTTACAGTTTTTTTAGTAAAGAGATTAGCTGTCATTTATTTTCACATACCTAACTGAAGAGCTTTAAAGGTTCCCAGCAAGAGCATGTTCTCTTCTTTTTCTCAGCCTGTCACATACTTGTCAGTTCCAATAAACTTACTTACCTGAATTATGCAGATGAGGTTTTGTTGTGTCCAGCACCCATCATTGTTCATCTCCACTACAGCTGAAACTTCGAGCAGACCCCTTGCTTATACTGTCTGATTTCAGCACTCCTTAGGTCAAGACCTTTCAACCTCAGGGCTTGACTTATGCCACAACCATTTGACAAATCGCCCAGACCCTCACAAAAGCTGGTTGAGCTCCAAAGTGACTGCTCTCTATACACCACTGTTTCACTGTTTTGACATTTCCTTCTCACTTTTCCCCTCAGTAATTAGACAAAGGAAGAAAAAGACATTTGTGTCCAAGGAATGCTTTCATTCGGAACTGTGATAAATGGCCACCCTTTCCAAGGAGCTGCAGTCCAACTGTATGACAGAAAGTTCCTTCACAAGAGGGCTACCCGTGGAGAGCCACCCATCAAAACACTTTCACTTGGAGTTTCATCTTTCACTGTAAAACCTGCCTAAAGTTTCCGTTGATGGTATAACTTTTCATCCAGCCAGTGAAATAGAGTTGAACCGGATTCTAAGTTCATACATTGTTAATAATTTGGCAAGGAATGGTTTAACGTGTTTAGCATAGTAAATGCAGCAGCAGCAGAGCAAGCTTGGTACTTCTACTACAGTTGGATTAAAATATCAATAATAAAAACTACTGAATTAGCAACCTTCAGATATTTATTTTTTTTCTTCAGTCCCATTCACTCTTAGAAAGTAAATTTATGGTGTTTTCACAGATGAGGGAGATGGGATTAACGCCCCCCCCCCTCCTATTTCTGATTCCTTGCATCTTTGGTCAAATCACTTAACTACTTAGCCTCAATTTTCCAATAAATAAAATGGGCATAATGTTATTTTCCTCCTTTATAGGGTGCTTTGGGATCTACGAATGAAACAACAACATAAAAGCTGGATAAATAATAATAGTATTCCATTAAATCTTGTCACATGAAGTTTATATGTAATTCAAATGCAGCATATCCTCCTCCCTTACTGTCCATTATTTTTCATGTATTTACTTTCTAATAGTGCTAATGTTGGACTATCAGTGATCTGACATATTAGTGGAGCATGACAAATTTGAAATTATTTTTGAGGCATTCGGATCAGAATATTTCCTTTCAAATTCACAAGTAAGTATGGTTGAAACAAAACCAGCATTGTGCTGTAAAAATATTTCTTAATAGAGATAAGTTATGTCAACCATGTTTTTATAAGCTTCTTTCAGATTATTGAGTTAATGCTTATTGTTCCATTGGGGATGAATGGCTGCCAAACATGTAAAATAATTGAAACTGCATGTGACTCAACTGTTAGTTACAGTGAAGAATTAGTGTGTTACAATTCATGTTATGGTTAATCTGTCTCTTCTGTTCATGGTAGTGCATTAATCAGAACACTACCAAATCACATTACCAAATCACTCAACCTTTATGATCCAATACCACATTAGGATTAATAAACTAACAACACTACTCTTGAAGTTCTATGCATGATATATGACCCTTTCCTCTAAGGCTCCCAATTTAAGAAAAGCACCAGGAAAAACATCTGAATCTTATCTGAACACTTAATTTTGGACAACAGTAAAGGCTAATCATATTTTTTTTCCTGTTGTAGCATAGCAATCCCAAAATGTTATCTATTCCTAAGAAATCTTAAGAAGTTGGAATGGAAGACAGGAGTGGATTATTTACACTAAACTGCACTAGTTTATGTGAATTTGCAAAATAATTCATTTGAAGTATGGCACACTAAAGAAAACAATAAACATCATATCTAAAAACATGGCTTTTAGAAAACCTACCATCCTGCCCCCTTTCATCTTTTACATACATTGTGTAAACACCTGAAATGCACCAAAATTATTTCCAAAATGAATACAAAGCCAATGAAATGCATTAATTTGATTTGAATTTTTGCTCTGAGAGCCACATGAGGGAAAGGGTCTTTAGAAATTTCCCATGTAAATGCACTAGAGCAGGCAGCCTGATATGCCTGAAATAATACACCCTCAGGCCTAATACCCCAGATGCATTCCACTTCACAGTTCCTTTCCAGTGCTCGTGAATGCATTCAGTGAAGAAAAGGAAACCATGGGAATTCACTTGGTAAACCTTTAACTAGTATAGCATACACTATAATTGTTTGTTTCTGTTGAATCATTTAACTGGAGAGAGCCAAGCTCTACCAGTCAGAACATGTTGGAAATGCGCGTTCTGTAGAGGGCAAAGCTATCAGTCCTTTCTTGGACACAACTTCTTATTCATTTTAGAATCTGAGCTCGCTCTCACTTAGTGAACCATGTTGTTCTAATACAGACTCAAAATAATATCTAATAGTATGCATAAAATTGTATAATTATTTTTCAACTTAGTAGCTTTTTCCTCTCTCTTCTTGACCTCTCAAATCTACATGCTCTTTCTGCATCAGATTATGTTTGTTAAACCTAGCCCATCTCTAGTGTCCTACTATTAACTTTCTTGAGTGCTCTGTGTATTGGTTTTTATGTTTGAAACATCAACGATTTTTGTATGCAAGAGGAAGGGATTTTTGTGGGTGAAACCGTTTATTCATGAAGAGTGTGTGCCCCTAGCAGGTTGGGGGGGCACAGCGGTGGTGGTAGCACAGCAGAAGCGTGGCAGCAATAAGCAGGGGAGCTCCCACAGACGCCACTGGTACTGTCAGCAGTGGAGGACGGGGGTGGTGAGTGCCAACGAAGGGTTGGCAACCACCCGCAGCCAGTGGGGATCATGGACTGGCGGTGTCAGTGATGAGCAGTGACCACCCGCAGGTGCTTTTTTGTAGAGGGTGCACTGCCATACTCAGGAGGTGCACATGCACCCACGTGCACCCCCTACATGTCACCCCTGCTTTTATTAGACCAGCTACATAGTCCAACAAAAATATTACCCACAAAAATCCTGGCCCCTCACGTTTCCTGGAGGATCATGGCTACAGCATCACCCCAATAATATCAACACTTTTTTATAAGTATTGTGTGTAGTTTCCTTCAAAGATGAAGTGCAGGCTATTATCAAGGGGGCAGAACAGGCAACTTAGCAAGGTACCCACTGAGATTTGGTCCTTGAAAGAGGACAATGGATCTTAGTCCCCATCATTGTCAGAGAATTTACACTGGGAACTTCAATTAAATTAATAACAAGAGTTATATATGAGTTGATTTGTTATATAATAAGAGTTCTATATGTATCTCTATGCATTAATGTTGTGTAGCAATATTAATAATCTCACAGTGGCCATATTTTGATTATTTTAAAAAGTACATGATGAGCTGAACCCTATTATTTGGAGTTGCTATAATTAGGTATTCAGCATATTGAGCATATTACTGCAAAGGGAAGAATACCCTGGCATTCCCACATCACAAGTACATGAGATAATTGCAGAATAGCAAAATATCTCTAGATGAATGTTGCTTCAACCACCTTATCGCTAATTAAAACAGGGCTGGTCCTAATTAGTGCGTACTTAGGATATAAAGACTTCTAAGAAAACTGCAAAGTTCAACAAAGATTTGTGGTGGTGATTCAGTAGATGGGATTCTTTCCTCTGGGCAGTGTACCAAAGTCCCAGCACAATGTTAAAAGACACTGGACAGCTTGGGATTTCAAGCTGGCATTTAAAACCAAAGTCCTTGCCACTTCTTGTGATTAAAAATGTAGTAGTACATTACAAGAGTTCCAGGTAGATTATGTACATAATCAAATTCTACTAGCTTAATTTCCTTCCACAAGTTATAGGTAAAGTAGAAGAGGTGGCTATTATTTATTTTGCAGACTTATTTTTCAAATAAATTGTGTAGAGGAATTTCTCTAATTAAATAAATAATTTACTTATTCTACAGTGCTACCTAACGTTTCATCGTGTTACTGAAATACGGTTTCTAATCCCTAATACTTTAATTGTATATTATAAGGATATTTTATCTATAAGGGTATATATATTGTGTATATATAAAGGTACTTTAATTGTATATTATAAGGGTGTACAGACCCTAAAAATTAACAGGCACATGTAATTATCAAACACCATATAATAGGAATCAGACTTTCTTAGTGATAGATGTGTATCTAAATTTAATATCCATTATAGGTATTGGGGTCAACTGTAACTGACAAACAACAATATTATTAACACCAATAATAATAATATGAAAATGCTTAAAAGTTCAATGTTTTAGTTTCTCATATGATCAAATAATCATATATTTGGAAAATAGCTGAATAGAAAACAACTTGGTGCCAGACATTCTCTAATATCTTTCTTGATGAAGAATAATTTTTATTGTAAATTCGTATTTGTAACAGAAACTTCCATGGCTAACTTTTTTAGTTGGCCTCTGTAACTAAATAATTTACAAGCATTTCTTTTTTTTTTTTCTCCACACAATTATCCTTTATTCCAGCCATTTTTATATAATTTAGTTGTTGTTATCATTTGTATTGTGCCCAACTATTTCATTTAGGGATTAGAGGATTCAAATATCCCATAAAATAGAGTCTCTGCCCCATTCAGTTTACCTGTCTAATTCACCAATTTCCATGCTAGTCTGCAGGCTCTAATATAGGTTTTGCCTACAGATGTACCCTCACACAGAGGCAAACCCTTTTGGATGGAGGGGAGTATGGAGAGGTGCCAGTGAGCACTAGAGTGTTGGGGGTTCTGAGAATGGGGAGCTGGGTGTTGCAGGAGTCTTATCTACACTGGGGACTCAAAAATAGCACCCTGCTGCTGATACTGCTTCTGCTGTGACTGGTACAGGACCAGCACAGTCATAGGTCTGGGTCTACCCACCCCACTGTTGCTACTACAACAGCAATGCAGTGCTCCAGGGTAGTTGGGGGAGGGGGGCATTACTCTGTCACCTCTACTAAGTTGGCACCCATGGCTGGTGCCCCAATCCCCCACCCCGAGTTATTCTGTTGCCCACACATATGGTTACACAACTGTAGGTTGTATCAGAGAGAATCATATACGTCTCCAATACAACTTTACAGAACAACAAGAGCTGTTGCTGTAAGCCAGTGGTCACCAACCAGTGGATCTCAATCCATCAGTAGATCTTGGAGCCTCTTGGAGCTGATCCAAGGCAGAGTGGGGGATGGGCCTGAGTGCCCGCTTGCATGCATGTGCATGCCCGCAGTGAGGGACAATGCTGCAGAGGCAGGAGCAGGGGTAAGTTGAGTGGGGGCCTGGCCAGGTGGGACTTACCTGATAGGGAGGCCTTGTCTGACCAACCTAATTTCTAATTTCAATCTTGTCTGACCAACCTAATTTCCTTCTATGACCAGGCAACGCATCACCTGAACAAAGGAGAAGAGGTTGAAGTCATATATTTAGATTTCAAAAAAGCCTTTGACTTGGTCTTCCATGATGTCCTCATGGTAAAATTGTGGAACTGTGGCCGTGACAACCTTACTGGGGAACTGGCTTTGTGGTCAGACCCAGAGACTGACTGTCAATGGAACCAAGTCAACATGACATGTGGTGACCAGTGGCATCCCCCAGGGCTCAGTACTCAGACCTACAGTACTCTTTAATATATTCATAAATTATTTGCATTCAGGTGTCAGAAGCAGACTGGGTAAGTTCACGGACAACAAATTGTGGGGAAGTGCCGTCACTCTAGAGGACAGGCTGGCA